AAAAAAAAAAAAAAAAAAGAGCTACATAAATTGATCGAAACAGAGCTTGCTTTTCTAATCCAGTTGGCAGAAAAATATAGGCAGTTTAAAGGAAACTATCCAAAAACTCTTAAAAACTCTGTATTACAGCAGCAAATACTAACATTGAAGAATAAAATGATTGGGCTTGGCAAGTTTAATATGGGACAACTAAGTTGAAGAGGCAGGTAAAACTACTTTGGCTAAATTTTGAAACCAATTTCATAACTATTAAATTTCCTATATTTCTCTGTATGTTTGATTAACACAATACAATACCATCTTTATCCCAGGGTCATTCAAGTAGTGAGGATTTTTTTTTTTTTTTAAGATTTTATTTATTTGCGAGAGAGAGAATGAGAGACAGAGAGCATGAGAGGGAGGAGGGTCAGAGGGAGAAGCAGACTCCCTGCTGAGCAGGGAGCCTGATGTGGGACTCGATCCAGGGACTCCAGGATCATGACCTGAGCCGAAGGCAGTCGCTTAACCAACTGAGCCACCCAGGCGCCCTCAAGTAGTGAGGATTAAATGAGTTAATATTTCTAAAGCTCTTAGAATGGGGCCTAGCACACGGTAACTGCTATGTAGGTGTTTGTTAAATAAAATAAATTATTCCAGGCCTCACACATGCTGAATGGCTATTGTTAGGGTCTCCGTAAATCTTAGAAAGAAAAAAAAATTGGCTCTGCTACTTGTTCTTCAGGACTTTTCCTAATATCGTTGAAGCTAACAGTGCTTGTAAAATGGAGATGAGTGCTTGCCACTCGCTATATGAACTCTCATTAGATTCTCTTTATTTTTACACCATTGCTTTTGTTTTTTCATTTTTCTTTTGTCTAGTGCATCCAAATGGATTATCTGAAAAAGAAATCAGCCCCTCCAAAGACCAACAAAATCAAGGGATTTAATAAGTGGGCGGAGATCACAGAGATCAGAGCAAACAAACTGGCATTGAAAAAAACCTGGAAACCACAGGTTTCTATTTCCCATGAATATCGGCCCAAACTCCTCTGAACGAGGATGCTCCAGTGTCTCCAAACTATTGGTTCTTTTCAAAATCAGGCGCCAGGGTCCCCGGGCCAATGCCAGAGAGGAAGGCGCCGGGCCCACTGGAAACGCTCCTCCCCTTTGGAGGAGGTTTGCGGGGCGGGGCTCCCACGCATGCTCCGTGCCCGCGGGCTCATTGGCGCGGCCGCCGGGCGCGTGCGCAGGACCCGATGGGTGCCCGGACGCGGAAGACCTGGCACCGCGGAGGTTCCCGCTTCTGAAGCGTGGGAGGCGGAAGAGGCGGCAGGTTGTAGATTTTGGTCTTGGCCCCAAGGGGTTCCCCCGGGCCATTAGAACCCAAGAGAGGAAGAGGAGGCACCGCGGCGGCGGCTGAGGGGCCGAACCCCCCACCTGTCCCCCAGGCGGGGTGGGGGGGTAGGGAGGGGAGAAGCACCCCTCACAGGGCTGAGGAGCCTTCGGGACCGGGTCCTAGAGCATGGGGGGCTGGACCGGGTCCCCGAGCATGGGGAGCTGGAGCCGTCGAGGCCACCCGGCCGGGCCCTGCCCGACTGTCAGCTTTTCGGTGCTAGCGCTGCCCGGGCAGCTGCGGTGTTTCTAGCCCGGCCCCGCTTGAGGTCGTCGGCCGAAAGATAGCAACATGAGTTCCGCCGCTGCCTAGTTTCCTCCCCCTCCTCTTCTCCCTCTGTCCGCTTCCTTCTCCTTCCTCTCTCCTCTTCCCCATACCTCGTCTTTTTCTTTCCCTCTCTCGTGTTCCTCTTTTCCCTCCACCCTGCCCTCCTCCTCCCCCTCGGTCCTCCTCCTTTCCCCCATCTTCTTCCTTTCCCGATCCTGTCCTTTTACCCTCTCTGTTTTCCTGCTTTTCCATCTATCCGCTTTTCCTGCCTCTTGCTCTTTTTCCCTCCATTCCTCTTTCCTCCATCCTCTTCCTTTATTCTGTCACCGTCCACCACCACCACCACCTCCCTCTCCACTACCACCCCCCCTCCTCCTCCCCTCACTCACTGTCATCCTCCCTTCCTCATCCTCATCCTCGTTCCCTCCTCCTCCTCTCCTGCTTTTCTCCGCCCCTCAGCCCCCGCCCCCAAGCCTCCGCCCCTTAGCCCCCGCCCCCAGCTGCCAGTCCCCAGCAGCTCAGTCCTGCAGTGAGAGTCTTGGGAGTCCATAGCTAAGCACCAGGAGCTGAGCACTGTCCGCTGTGCCTGCCTGCAAGTCTCCGACATGGCTCAGGAGAAAATGGAGCTGGACTTTGAGCCTGATGCATCTGATGGGGGCACCCTGAGGAGATCCAGCAGCGCTCCCCTGATCCATGGGCTCAGGTGAGGCGGGCTGGGGACGATGAAGTACGGGTATGGGGTTCAGGGGCTCCTCGACCCCCTGCAAGCAATCTTCTTTCCCTAAAGTGAGAGTTGGCGCTCGTTTGGGTTTTCTAAACTGAGGGGGTGGGGACTTGTTTGCTTGACACAGTGACTTGGGTCCCAAGGTGGAGTGAAAGTTTGACCCCAAACTCTGGGAACTGTGGGAAAAATAGGGCCCTCTTTACCTGGGGCTCTCTTGGCCCACTCTGAAAGGATCTACAAGAAGCTTCTGGCTCTTCTAACAGGTTGCTTGCCCTGCCTAATTTACACCACTGAATGTCAGACTGAAGCCCCTGGAACTAGACTTGCAACTTGACACCTGTCTTTAAGAGCTGCTATTTCTAAGCTTAGTTTAGGAACCCTGGCATTAACAGAGCATTTACTTTAATAAATCACAATTTATCTAATAACTTGTAATCAAGTGGCATGTTCATGACACATTAAGTGATTCGGATTTGTCGTAATGTTTTCAGATCCTAAAACAGCCAGAAATGCATTCCAGTGAATAAAAAAAGGAAGGGTGTCGTGTAGCTTAGGTCAGTGAAAATACAGGTTTTAGAAAACAATGGAAAAAATCAACCCTTGAATTTTAGTGGTAGGGTCTTGTATTTTCATGTGAATAAGTCACCAGAGGGTCTATTTTAAGGTAGAATCTTATGAAAGTGAAGGTTAGGTTGGCAGACCTCCTGAGCCTATTACATTTCACTCTTCTAAGTAGACAATTCATCTTAGTAGAGAGCTAATTTGCGAGACCCTGTAGAAATGGAATTAGTCCAAAAAAGGGGATGGGAGTAGAATTAGCCAAAATCATTAATCAAGCACAGTGAAGGCAAAGAAATAGGTAATCCTTGTCTATCAAACTGATTATAATATCTGTATTTTGGGGGAAAATGGAATTAACTCATTTTCTTTTATTAAATTTTGAAACTGAGGGAATGATGGAGTGACTGCTTTCCTAATGCTGTCTTCAGCTCTACATTTATTTTTTGATTCTGTAGGAATAAATCAGTCTTTTGGGGTTGTCTTTTTAAATCTGGTAAGCAAGCAATTGCCAGGGACTAGGGGCAATCCTGCTGACCTGCATTTAGACTGTTGTAGAAATAACACACTGTTTTTTGAATCAGGAATCAAGTGATTACTTGCAGGGTAGTATGATGTGACAGAAGAAGGGCTGAGGAGACTAGACCTAGTCCCAATATTTCTCCCTAACTGTGATCATGAATGAATCAGTTAGCCTTTCTGAGTGTCTGTTTTCTCATTTGAAACTTAGGAGAGCTGAATTAGGTGATCTCAGTGGTCCCTTGAAGCCCAATTCAGTTCAGTCCTGAAAATCTTTCTTGACTTCTTATCATGGGCATGGCACTCTGCTAGGCACTGCAGGGATGTTATACAAAGAGGATCAAAAGGCCTTGACCACGGAGTTTAATAAGACACACGCACACTTTTCTGTAATAAAAGGTAAAGTCGGTGTCTCAAGCATCTCCTTTCCCATTGCGCTCTTTGGACTCAAAGGAGGGAATGATTGCATTCAGTTTGCGGATTGAAGAGAGGCCCCACGGAGTGTATTGCATCGAAATGGGGGCTCAAGGAGAGGGAGGATTTGGGCTGATGGTGGTGGGAGGGAGGACACTAGAGGCAGAAGAGGCAACAGGAGCAAAACTCCAGGCATGTTTATTTAGTTGCACAGCAGGTTCATGGGCAGAACACGTATTTAGGGCAATAGTGGGAGATGTGCTGTAGAACAGGGCTTCCCCAGCCCTTCTCACCATCATGGCACACACAGAAAGCAGTAACATGTTTGGGTCCTCTGGGGTAAACAGATGAGGCTGCTCATGTCTGGTGGGAACCGGTTTGGGGGCGTGAGCTCTGACCAGAAGCAGCTGGAGGCAACCAGTCTGGAGCTCCGCCCCATACCTCTCCTAGCCGCCCCCCAACCACTGAGGAGATCAGTATCTGGGCAAACCTGTGATCCACAGCACATCACCACGGAAGCTCTGAAGAGGTCGGTGAGGAGTTTATCCATTGTACAAAATGAGGAGCCATGGAAGATTTCATTGTTGACTAGAGAGTTGATGGATATCTAATGAGAAGACATTAACAATTTTATTTTTATTTTTTTAGTGACCTTTCACAGGTTTTTCAACCTTATACCTTTAGAACTCGGAGGAATAGTACAACGATTATGAGCCGTCATAGCCTGGTAAGTATAGAAGTAAGTATTTTTAGTGGCATGGATTGGGGAAAACTCTTTCAAACGTAGTTACTCGCTCTTAAGATGATGTGCTGTGCACCATTGTTCACAAAAGAAAAAAAACATTTTACCTCCCTTGCTCATGCTGTGGCCATTTTCAGCTTTTGGTGCCAAAAAAGAGATCTGGTTAAAGTTTTTTCCTGGCTGTGGGACTTCGTATTTTTAAAAACTACTCATTGTTTTTTTGTCACTACTTGCATCATGGTTATGAGGTAAGTCAGGATTAACTTCTAAATATAGCTGAGAAAAGTGGTCTTTATTTGTCCTAGGAAGCAAAAATCATTTAGACTGTAGCAGAGTATTTATTTCTGACACATATCTGTTGGACAATGTTATTTATCCACAGTAAGATCTCCTTTATAATGCTTGTATTTATATTCCCGGTAGAGTCGCTAATAGTGACTGTTTTGTACAGCCAGAGCTGTCAGGGATCACCTTATTAGTTGGTCGCATTGGGAGAAATTATGATGAGGTTTTTTATATAGTAGCACTTCACATGCGGGGCCCACTTATCCAGTAGCTGCAGCGCTCTGGAAGATATCTGAGATGTAAGCAAACAGACCTCTGAATGGCTGCGCTTGATTTCCATAGTCTGTGCACAAAGGTTCATCAGTTTATTTATAGGGAGCCTCTCTGACCTCTGAATCATCTAAAATTTATGCACAATTATAATAAGCTTCCAACTCGGTAGTGTGGAGAAAGAGCAAATCAGAAGAGGTACATTCGGGTTTAAGGTATACTAATAGCTGCTAGCAAGGGAGGAGAGGGAAAAACTGAAAAGCAGAAAGAGGCTTTTAAAAAATTAGTCCGTGGCTTAGTACAAGGGCTAAGAACCCGTTAATAGACCCTGAGGGTCTTGCTGGCATAGAACTGTAAAATACTTGATGTTCTTAAAGATACCTGGGTCATTAACCTTTTCTTAAATTATAGTAGTACCTATGCTTCTATGGTATTCTACATGTTACAGAGTCCTTTCACACTTGGCATTCTCATAGCAACCCGTGTGAAGTAGGCAGGACAAAAGATGTTTTTCCCAGTTAAAAGAGGCAGCAGCTAAGACTCAGCTGATAGAAGCGACTTGCTTAGAATCACATAATTGGTAAGCGGCAGGGCTGGGATTAGAATAGAGATATGCCAGGGCCATTCTGTTTGGTAAAATCTGTTTAAGAAAGTGGGGGGGAGATACAACACTTTCAAGAAAGATTTCCAGCTGAAGTGGCTAAAAATACTTAAAGGGGAAAATGTTCGCTATCTGGAGTTTTGATTCACATCACCTTCCCTGAGGATGCTGGAAAGTAGAATTTAATTTTGCTGTGTATATGAAAAATGTTTCCACTTGTTACACAGCTATGTTCCTGATATCAGTAGTAGGAAAAAAAAAGGGAAAATGAATTTGCCTCTTTACACTTGACTGTTGCTCTTTTCTAAGATGCGAAGATTCTTGTCCACTCTGTCTAGGCTCATCTCTCCCTACCCCCTGACAAATACCTTTTTCTCTGGCTGCACTAAATACCTAGTTTGCTGGAGGAGCCATGTTGATTCACTGCTCTTTGTTGATCCTTATGTTGTCTTTCCCTCCATCCCCTTCTCCTCTTGATTCCTGGTTCGGGAAGCCTTCTGCAGCACCCTTTGGGTACTTCTGTCGCCACTGATTACACCTTATCTGTTATATCACAGTGTCCTCTATAAATCTTTTTTTTTAAAGATTTTATTTATTTATTTGACAGAGCGAGAGTGCACGCGAGAGCACAAGAGGAGGGGGAGCGGCAGGGAGAGGGGGAAGCAGACTTCCCCGCTGAGCAGGGGGCCTGATGGGGGGCTCGATCCCAAGACCCTGAGATCATGACCTGAGCCAAAGGCAGACGCTTAACCCACTGAGCCACCCAGGCGCCCCCTCTGTAAATCTTTAAATACACTTCCCTGTGTCTGCTGCCAAAAGCAAGGGGAGGAACAAAATGGAAAGGAGGGGATTGGCACAAGAAGACGTGCAGAGGTCGTTTCTTCATGATTTGACAACAGATTAGGTGTAAATGCAGGGCGTAGGAGGACACCAGGGGACTGAACTTTTATTTCTTAGTGACCAGGGGAAAAATGTTGTCTATATTACGAGTAGGGAAATGTCAAGGAATTGGTCATTTGAGGGGCCAGGAGAGAAATTCTTCCTGGGCATTTTGGGCTCAAGGTGCCGCTTGCTTTGTGCTGTTCTCCAAAGCAATATTCTAGTTTGGAAAAAAATTTTTTGCGGGCTTCCTCCACCTTTCACTTTTGCCAGATGACCCTTCTCTGTTCACAGAGCTTGCAGACGGCCATCTTGTATACGTGTCGGCTTTCTTCTGAAAATGTCTTTACCTCCACATGTGGCGCTGTGTCCTAATGATTCCTAGGTTTTCTGAGTCTCCTGTCTCTTTGCTCGGTCTGTTGTCTTCCCTCTAGTCCCTTCCTCCCTGGCTTTTTTGCTCCCACTTTCTTCTGACTCACATATCTAATAATCTGGAACACAGACTTGTCTTTTTTCATTGGTCTCTCTTTCCCTGTTTTCCTTCCACCCCTCTGAGCTTTCACAGAGCTTAATCCACACCATACTGCCTCTAATTCCTTGTCTCCTAGTTTCTTGCCATCTACTCAGCCTGTTTGTGATCTCACTACCTCTATCACCATACTATTAAAAAACTGTTCTCAGGGGTGTCTGGGTGGCTCAGTCAGTGAAGCCTCTGCCTTCGGCTCAGGTCATGATCCCAGGGTCCTGGGATCGAGCCCCGCGTCAGGCTTCCTGCTCAGTGAAGAGCCTGTTTCTCCCTCTCCCTCTGCCCACCCACTACTCGTGCTCTCTCTCTTTCTCTCTCTCACTCACTCGCTTGCTCTATCTCAAATAAATAAAATCTTTAAAAAAAAAACACCAAACTGTCTTGGAGGGGCGCCTGTGGCTCAGTCGGTTAAGCGTCTGACTCTTGATTTCAGCTCAGGTCATGTTCTTGGGGTCCTGGGATCGAGCCCTGCTCAGGCTCTGCGCTCAGTGCAGAGCTGGCTTCTCCCTCTCCTTCTGCTCCTCCTCCTGCTCGCGTGCTCTCTCTCTCTCAAATAAATAAATAAAATCTTTAAAAAAACCTGTTCTTGCAAAAGTCACCAGTGTCCACTTGATGCCAGTGGCAGGGGCCTCTCTTCTTACCCCACTTGAGCTCTTTGCTTCACTTAACACCACTAACCAGCACCCTCCTTGACGTGCTTGGCTTTTTTTCTCAGCCTGTACATTAACGCTTGTTTCCAGTACTAGACACAGCATTGTTCTTCCCTGTGCCCCTTTTGGGTCTTCTTTCCAGTTCTGCCTACGTTGACAAGTTGTGCATCATATAGATGAAGCATCTAAATTTCTGACTTTCTCTGCCATCAGCTTTTTGCAATCTTTGGCTTTCCTGATGATTTCGCGGCCTCTAGGGTTTCTTTTGTTCTCTGATGGACACATCCATGCTCTCTTCCATGGTATCCTGTTAGTCTTTCCTGCCTTATTTACTTGCCTAGTAGCTTAGTGTTTTTCTTTTTTTAAAAAAAGATTTATTTATTTACTTGAGAGAGCGAGCGAGAGAGAGCGCGCACCATTGGGGGTAGGGGGCAGAGGCAGAGGGAGAGAGAGAATCACAAGCAGACTCCCGGCTGCGCACGGAGCCTGACTTGGGGCTCGATCCCAGGATCCCAAGATCATGACCTGAGCCGAAACCAAGAGTTGGCTGCTTAACCGACTGCGCCACCCAGGCACCCCGCTTAGTGTTTTTCAAATGACCTTTATTAAGAGTTGACCAGTAAACATATATTAGTTTTCTAGTAGAAAAAAAAAAAACTTTAAGAGGATTTTATTCGTAAAGTTTTTCTGTTTTCAGAGCCCAGGAGAGGAAAAAGTAAGAGGAAGGGGTGGGTACTGAAGAGATATCCTTTGAGGTAAAAATCACATTTTAGTGTGTAACTTTAAAAAATTTCACCCAGATTAGCTTTTGCCTAAAAAACTTGGAGTAGTTTATTACCATTTTATACTACTCACTACATTAGGATTTTTAGACATTTTAATAGGATAGGGCCTCTTGTAACAAGATCGTTGTCTTACTTGGTTTTACAGCACTACAGATTTATTTGCACTTAATTAGGGAATAAGTAGCAGTTGTTTACATTATGGCTGTTAGAACCCTGTAAGAGCTGTTGAGATGAATTGTACCTTTCATCTTGTGATCAGATTGTGATTATTTTGAGGGAACATAATTTGCCCCCCCCAAATCATTTTAGCTTTGTGTTGTCAAAAAATGATGATCTAAGGGAAAGCAGCAGTTATCTGAAAAACACATTGCCTTCCACATTGAATTTTCTTAACTAGTAAGTAGGGTTTGCGGTGATAGTGGTAGTGGCCAAATTTTATAATTGATTTAGATCACACAAGCAAAATCTTCTGATTGCAGTTTTAAAGTGTTTTTGATCAACCCTAATCATAGACGGAATATTATACTGGGCTTCTGAGCCTTCCTCCATTGGTGCATTGGTGTCAAAATGACTAGAATCAGTTTTTTTCTTTCCCTTCTTACCTAGTTCCTTATTTTAGATAAGTGGGGTAATGGATATTTCCAAGGCCTGGAATCTTTTTTTTTTTTTTTTTTTTTTACGTAAATGTACACAGCCCTGCATTCATTTGGGAAAAGTGTTAAAGTCAGTGCCTGTCTAGTGACAGATGGTGCTTTGAGGTTGGACACCTGGTGTACTTTCCAAAGACTGAATGTCCTGCCTCTAGTGTGTTAATGTTCAGTGATCTAAAGAGCTACATCTCTGAGAAGAATATGAAATCTTATCTGGGAGGAGGTTGGACACTGGGACTGACAGCAGACTGCTGCTTTGTGATTCAGAAAATAGTAAATGTTTACTTTTCCTTTCCAGTTGCTGTCCTCCTCGCCTAACCGTGTTCCTAGCAGCAGACTGCATCAGATCAGAAGGGTAAATTTTATTTCCTAGCTCAGAGCTACAATTGTCTGAATTGTCCACTTTGCTTTTATTTTTATTCTGAAGATTTATCTATTAAACATGAGTCAGGCTGCCACTCTGGGTAGCCACAGACAGCTGGAAATTCTTCCGAGTGTGCAGGTAAAACACAGACGTGCCAGGGGTGACAGTCTTAGAATGTTCTGCTTGCGCTGTGATGATGTCAAAGAAGGCAGAAAAAAAAAGTCTTTTAAAATTTTCTTTGAAGTAGAGAACCGTGTGGATGTGGATACTGTGTTTTCAGCACATGTTTATCTTTGCAGGAGGAAGGCATGGATATGATGAACAGGGAAACTGCACACGAACGGTTAGTGCTTCATAAGAACAGGGCCTAGCTGGTTGTATGTCTTGTTCCTGAGCACTGATGGCCTTTCATTTCTGTTTGTTTTAGGGAAGTGCAGACCGCAATGCAGATAAGCCAATCATGGGATGAGAGCTTGAGCCTGGTAATGTTAATCCCATGTTGACTTGTTTTTTAATTTTCTGGAAACCTTTATGTTGTTCATTGGCTTCATTAATTTTTTCATACCGTTTTGTCCACCCCTGTTTCCAAATTTGTATTCGTTTTTGATCTCTGCTTTTCCACCAGAACGTGAGATTGCAACTTTTTAGAGTCTGTACATTTCTATTCTAAAAATGTAGGCATGCTTGAGTAGTAAAGAGCTGTGATGTGCTGGATTGTGAATTATGAGGAAATAACACTTTATGTTTACAGAGTGACAGCGATTTTGAGAAGCCGGAGAAACTATATTCTCCAAAAAGGATTGACTTCACTCCAGTTTCTCCGGCACCATCACCCACCAGAGGATTTGGAAAGGTAGGCTCATTGACAAGATGCTAACTCTCTTTTCACACACTGAGCTCTTTACTCTCTAAAATACACACACACACACACACACACACACACACACACACAGCCTCATTTGTGAAGAATCCGATGACTAGAAGGAAAATTAATGAAAGTCAGTGATAGTAACTTGAAAAAACGGTCTATCAATATATATATATAGGGGCGCCTGGGTGGCTCAGT